GTGATTTACATAGTAAAAAACTAGTTTTTCTTACCATCCTCTCAAGATAGTGGACGCAGAAAGCTCTCACTTGGACGCATCTGATGAATCACTTTTCGTGCCAAGGTTTTGCGAACTGGAGAATAATTCAACGAAAGAATGAATGCCAATTTTGAAGGTATATTATTCTATAGGGAGATGTTAATTTTTTCACATTCTATTAATCATTTTGTTCGTGGGGACACAGGCAACAACTTTATTTAAAGGCTCTTTGAGTGCTTTGGCTGAGACTTTAGACGAAAAATTCAAAAATGTGATCATATTGATTTTTTAATTGATCGACATTATATGTTCGATTTTTATCCTCCTGATTTGCGTGACAAATCATGTGAAAATTACACTTAGTTTGAATTCAAATACTGTATGAGCCAATAGTTTCTTGGCATTTTTGTGGACATGTGATAATCCAATACATGTCGATCATATTTATGATCTAAAAATGTTTATTATTGCAAGTAAAAACTTTGCTAGAATGTTCTTCCTTGTAAGTGATTTTTTACATATTCACCGAAAGGCACTTGCAATCAACTAAATAGCCATGAAATTCGCAGAAAGATCTCTCACACACTATTCAACTACATCCTTCCTTCTTTGGACCAAACATGGATGACTTTCTAAAGAGAAAACTTCACTCGGACGTGGAAGGCACTTGTACCGGACGGTTTGGATACATAATTAATGTACTTACCGTAAAGGAAATCTCGAAAGGGAAGGTATTGCCGTCTATAGGACTGGCAGAATTTACTGTCAAATATCAAGCCATTGTGTTTAAACCCTTTAAACATGAAGTAGTTGATGGGACGGTGACATCAGTTAACAAGGTGAATTATTAATTATTGGGTATTTGTATATTATTATGTGAGGTAGAATACTTGTATAAAAACCATTGTCCTTTTAATATTTTCATTTATTATTTAACAATTTAAGATGGGGTTTTTTGCGGAGGTAGGACCATTACAAGTCTTTGTGTCAAGCCATGTGTGTACTATTTTGTTCTTTTGTATATATACTATGCATTCTATAATTGACATCATTAACTGATTAACTTTATGCTTATTAGTTAATTCCCACCGATATGAAGTTTAATCCATACATAAATCCGCCAGCCTTCTCCGATGAGAACGTAAAATATACCATCAATTATTTGTAATTGCTATTTAGCTATCATTAGATTGATTCTTATAAATGTAACTTTTGATATTAGAATACAATCGAGAAAGGTAGCAACTGTAGAATTAAAATTGTGGGAACACGATTTGATGCAACCGATATAGTAAGTGTTGTTATGCTGTTTTCTTTTATGTATTTTTAAACCTTTATTTGATTTTTTTTGTTGATTTAGTTTGCGATCGGTACTATCAAAGAGGATTTTTGTGGAATATTGTAGAACTTGTAAATTTTCTTAATAATGACTATCAAAGAATGGTGACATTTGTTTTGAATTTTAATTTTATTCCTAAATGGTTATTATTATAATCATCGGTTTATTCGTTGCTATATTTATCGTCAAATAAATAGACAAACACCCACCGGATAAAAGAAAATCAAAAACTTGCCACTATAAACACTCCAACAAAGATTATAGTTATTAGTATGCTGCAATTATTTTTCCAACACCCCATCAAAAGCACCAGGCGGTCTCGGGACACGTTTAATTTCATAATCGTTGGCTTTTAGACTAGGTTCTTTTGCTTGTAATAACTAAAATTCACCAGAGGAACTTGGAATGAGGAATAGGGCAAATAAAATTATAATCGATAAAAAAGCATACCCAGTATTCTTGCTGAAGATTGATTTTTCGTCGATCTTTTTTCATGTGTAATTCTTCTTCTTTTTCAAGCTAAAATTATATTAGTAAATATTATAAATTCGATGAAAGCTAAGAAAACTATTCAATCAATCATACCATAGATGACTTTTGTGCATGCAAATCATATTTAGTACGTGTCAAATATGAAAGACCGAATGACCCTCCTGTGATACACATTAAAAATGGTAGTCCAAAAAATATAAATGGACGTCGTTTTATGGTTAGTAGTAGTTTGGATTCTGATTGTTTGAATTTTCGATTTGTGAATACTCGTGGTGACATTTGAATATACGATGATTAGAATTGTGGATTCATTATTTATATTTCCAAATCAGTTGGTGACATAATCACTAACTATTTTGTTCCTGGGTTGAGATCGACAATACCTATTGCGTAACAAGTTTTTTCTAATTGGATAAATTTTATTGAATTTATAGAATTCATTTTTGTTATCTTTGTCTTTTTTTGATAATAAACCATTATTAATAAAGATTTACATATATGCGTGAGTTCAAATAAAAGGCAAAAATTACAATAATATTTTTGAAATTGAATATTTGAATAATTTCAATTTGATTAAAAAATTTTTATTAAATTTTTAAACTATATACACAACAAATTTCTTGTTTAATAAAAATATAAATATTATATTTTCATATTATTATTATTTTTACTTTTTATAGAAATTAACAATAACTATCCAAAATACAATAAATAACTTGATAATTTATCTTGCTAATTTTTGGAATTTTTTTATTTTTAAATAAGTTATTATATGTTATATTAAAAAAAGAATCTGAATTATATTGAAATTTATTAATAAAATATAATAAATTAAAATATTTGCTATATATTGAACTTTTCATTTTTATTATAATTATAATTAATTATATATAATTACTTATCTTGTAATCTGAAAAATTTTTCAAATAACTTAAAACAATATACAATAACTTACAAAATATATCACTTTCAAAATTTATTATTAAATATAGTAAAATTAAAAATTTTATATTATAATTTAAGAAATATAATTATTTTTTTTATAATTATACTATTAAATTTAATAATTTTTTAAAATATAATTATAATTATAATTTTATAATAGTTAGCTTTAATAAAATATAATGATAAATTATAATATAATTAAATTTATATTTAATTTTGTATAAATTTTTTTAATTTTTAATTATTAAGTTTATATAATAGATTATTTAAAATAATATAAAATTCAAAAATTAGTAGACAAATTTGTTTATAGTTTAAAAAAATTAATTTAAAAAGTTATTTTTGTATTTTATTTTTATTTTAATAACAAGTTAATTATTAAGTTTTTTATTTTATATTAGAAAACTTAATAAAAAAGATTAATATAGTTAAATTTTTAATTTAATAATTATATAGTTTAATAATTATTAATTAATATTTTAATTAATAATATAATTTTATTTAAAAATAAAATTGCTAATTAATAATTATCTAATCAGATTTTGATTTAAGAATATATAATAAATATTATTATTTAATTAAAAAATTTATTAATTGAACTTAATTTTTATATTGTTATTATTTTAATTGAATTTTATTTTATTTTTTGAATATATTATATAAAATATGTATAATTAAATTAGATAAAAAATAATATGTTATTAAACTTATAAATAAAAAAATTAATACTATTTTTAAAAATAAATAATATATATTTATTTTATAAATAACTATAATAAGCTTAAAAATCTTTTTTTAACAAAGATATTTATATTTATAACTTTTATAATAGTTTATAACCAAGTAAAATATTAATAATTTATTTTATTAAATTAATTTAATATAATTTTATAATTAAAACAAAAAATTTATAAACAAATTAAACAAATATAACTTTATAATTAAAATAAATAAACTAAAATAAAATTTAAGTTAATATTATATTTGTTATTAACTTTTTAAAAAAAACTTTTAATTGATTAATTATTCAATAAAATATAATAATAAAATTGTTTAATAAAATATTATTTAATAAAATAAAAAATAAAATTTTTTAATAAAACTTGATACTTTAAAATAGTAAAATCTAATTTATAATAATATATATTATTATTATTATTTTATATAATTTTTAATCTTTTTATAGGAAAGTATATAAAACTAAATTAGATAAAAAATATACAGTGACTAATAAACTTATAAAATTATATATGTAATTTTATTAATAAATATAATAAAAATTAAAATTTTTATTTTATATAAAAGTTTTCAATTTTATTAATAAATATTTTTTATAATTATATTAAAATAAAAATTATAAGTTATAGTTTAATATATATTTTTTTCTGATAAAATTATTTTAATTGCAAAGTTATTGCAAAATTTTTTTATAATTAAAATATAAAATTAATTATAAAAAATTTTTGCAATAATTTTGTAATTAGAACAATTTTGTCAGAAAAAAATCTAAAAAATATATATTAAATTATAATTTATAATTTTTATTTTAATATAAAAATAAAAAATTTTTATTAATAAAAATTTTTATATAAAACAAAAATTTTATATTTTATTATAAAATTAACAATCTCTTTGAAATTGTTTTAGTTCTAAAATGATTCTAATTTATTTCAAATTTTATATTTTAAAAGATTTTAATTTCTTAAGAAGTTTTATTACTTATTTTCAATAAGTAAATTATATTAAATTATTATTATAAGTAGTGTTCTTATAAACTGAATTGAATCAGATTTTTGTTTGAATTTGAGTTTGATTTAAAATTTGAATCAAACTTGAATTGAACTTTGATTTAAGTTCAAGAAAAGTTTGAATTAAATTATTATATGAGTTTAAATCTGATCTGAATTCAATTAGAAATTAGCATATAGTATCATATATTAATTTATAACTCTAAATATGATTTATAACTTTAATTAAAAATATATTTTGTGGTATTTAGTGAGAATTAAAAGTTTATATAGTGATAACTAATATATTTTTATTTTTATATTTATTAAATTTGATTGTAAATACTATATAACCCTTCAAATAATTATTATTAATAGCAACTATTTTATATTAATTTGTAGCTCTTATTTCTAACTACAATTTTACTTATAATTATAATTTATAGTTATTATAACAAAATAAATATTTGTTATACTATAAGTAAAGCAGATTAAAATTATAATAATTTTTAAAATCTATATAACTTTTTGAATATTTATTCTAAATATTAATTATCTTATATCAATTTATAATTCTGATTAAGCTTTACAACTTTATTTAGAGCTTTATCAAATATTTATTTGAACTCGAATCAGATTTTTAATCAAATTCAAATTTGGTTCAAAGTTTAAACTGAACTTGAATCAGATTTTTACTTAAATTTAATTTTTTAAATTGAACTTTTGGTTAAGTTTGAGTCCAATTCAAACTGAATCAGACTTTTTTTGGAATTCTAATTATAAACAAGTTTAATTAATAACTTGTAAGAAAAAAATTATCTCTAAAACTAATAATTTTTATAGGATTATAATCAAATTTCTCTATAATTATCATTCTTAAAAAATAAAATTTAATGAATATAGAGAATATTTTTTTACTATATTTATATATAAATAGAAAAGCAAAATGAGATGACTATAAAGAGATGTAATTATAAATGAATATAATTATAGAGAAATTTAACTGTATTAAAATTATTTAAAACTAATTATAAAATATTTTAATTATAATAGTATTCTTTATATAAAAAATAAATTGAATTATTATTAATTTTATATAAAAATATAAAGAATAATATAATTTTATAATATAAAAAATTTCTCTTACAAGTTAATTTGTTAATAAAACTATAATTTTATAAGAGGATTTTTTATTTTTAAAGTTATAATGATTTAAAGAATTCTGATTTGTCAGATTGATTATTATGTATAAGATCTACAATAAAAAATGTTATCATGACGCAATATTGGATATTCTTTTTACTAGTATCTCGATTCGAGTTTCGTGTCTGCATTATTTACATTGAGATTGCGTGTTCATTTTTAACGTGCATAAGATTGCCGCAAGCGCAACAGTACGAGATCGCGATTCTTGATTTTAGCCCAATCACGTAAGAAGCACTTGTCTTTCGTAAGCAAAGTTTCGTCGGACGACGATCATCATAGTACAGATCGTCAGGATTTTCGGCAGTGGGGGAATTTTGCACCAATATCGATATGTCACGAAATTATTTATCATTAAAAAAACACACATTGGTAATTACTCATTCTCGTAAAAGAAAAAGAATTTCTATTATTGCGCCTGCAATTTCTTATTATTATACTTCCTCTAGAGAAGCTCTAAGAAATGAAAGACATAGAAGTGTTCGTGGCTTTGACAACCGAGATGAAAGGAACACAGTTAATGAAAAAGGAAGAGACAAAGCATCAAGAAACAGGTCCAATTATGATACTGATACTGATAGAGGAAACTTTAAAAAGAAAAAAAATCGAGAAAACGACCACGACGACTACGAAGCCGGTTTTAGTATTGCGAGTATTCGTAATAATAGCGATGATAATGACACGAGAGATAAATTTTCTCGTGGTATCGTTAGACTTTCCAAGACAAAAAGCAATGAAATTGATCCTTTTAGAAGAGGAGGAGGAAGTGGCCAAAAATCACTATCATCAAGTTCCTATAGAGAAAAGACATTTCGCGATAAATTATCATCATTGGCATCAAGTAATACTTTTAAAGAAAAAAGAGAAGGAACTCGAAAAATTTCCAGAGAATTATACACAGAAAAAAAGAGAAATCTCGGGAATAATAATTCAAATTTACCTAAAGTAATATCTGACATTTATAAAACATCAGATAAACAACGATTTAATTCATATGGGGATATTGCGAGTAGCCATAGCAGCAAGGATACTGATTCTACTATTACTGCTGACTCTTCTAAATTCAAACTTTATCAATATAATGCTATCGGTGAAGACAAAAACAAACGTCTAGATCATTTTTTACGTGAACGTACAGGATTACCTATCACCAAGATTCTCGTGTCTATACGGAAAAAAGATGTAGGTGTCCATTAGATATGTAATATGCGTAAATATATATGAATAGGTTTGAAATATTCTTGATAAATATAGGTCAAGTTATATCAGGCAGATGAAACAAAACTGGAACATAAAAGCCCGTCGTTAAATGCATATCGTATACAGCCGGATGATGTAGTCTCAATTCGGTGTCCCGAACTAAAATATAATGCAGTTGTTTTAAAACAACCTACTCGGGATAGAACAGTTGAGCATATTTTTATTTATTATATTTATTCAAAATTAGTTATTCGAGATTTGTTGTTGGAATTATTATTTTTATTTAGCCATTGTCCGAAGAGAAAATACAGGAAATTCGTAACTGGATTATTTATAAGGATGAGGACATTTTGGTTATCAATAAACCATCCGGATTGGCTGTACAAGGTAAAGTTGTTTTTATCTTTTTTTTTCTTTGTAAAAAATCTAACATATAAAAATCTATTGTCAAGGTGGCTCGAAAATATATGAAAGCGTGGATGGGTTTTTACATGGTTAGTATTTAAATACGCGTCAAACAAAATAATGAATATTATAAAATTGTCTGATGTGTTCGTTATTTTAATATTTTCAACACAGCTTTACAGTATGATTATCAAGATATACCACGTCTCGTACACAGATTAGATAAGGTTTGTGGAATCTAGGTAAATAAAATACCATTATTTGTGAATACGTAATACCATAGCACTAGGGAATAAGATTTCTAATATATAAATTGATTAGGCTACTTCAGGAGCACTTATTCTCGCACGCACAAAATCAGCGGCTACTAGATTGTCATTGATGTTTTCGGAAAACAAGTTGGAAAAAATGGTGAGGATTTTTTCTGGATAAGAGAGACCTCATATTATTTATTAATTATTTTATGCTTTATTTTGGGAGTAGTACACTGCCGTAGTGACAAATTTTATTCCACGGTGTTTGAGTAAAAGAACTATAAAGGTCCCAGTTGCTATCACAGGGGAGCCACCTCAGGAGCGTGTGATTTGCTTGAAAGGTATTTTCCTAATAAAAGTTCTATTGCTACTCGACAATGAAATCCAAATAAATAGTTATTGACTCAATAATTAATTTTCGAAAGATGGATACGACGACGAAGACATGATCATTAATAAAGCTCAAGAAGCCATATCCGAGTACAAGGTAATTGCCGGCACGGGCGGATACTCTTTACTTTGGTTGTATCCACTTACCGGTAGAAAACATCAATTAAGAGTTCATTGCGCTTCTGTGTTGAACGGTAAGTAAATTCTAATTTAAATTGGAATAATAGAAAGAGTAAAAGGGGAATTTTGAAAATTGATTTTTATTGTTGTGTATAGCTCCAATTTTGGGAGACGTAAAATACTGCGACACCTCCAAAATTTTACCGCATCTCAAAAAATTACAATCACAAACGACAAGGAACCCTTCACATAGCTTTAATCCTATGCATTTACATTTAAGTAAAATTGCTATACGGGTAAGTGAGAGATTTTACTTGTTTCGAATGCAAAGATCAAGAATCTTTAACTATTTCATTTCATTCTTTCTTAGGACTGGAAACTTTTCAACGCGTTAGGGAAGGTAGCCAAGAAAAAAGACATAGAAGTGCATGTTCCATTACCTGACTACTTTCAAAAGACGACAATGATGTTGTTTGGAATTGACGCGGATAATGATGAATTTTTAGCACGATACGGAAATAATAAATAACGATAATATATAATTTTTCTCGAGATCGATCGATCATCTGTGTAATCTGACGTACTAAAAAGTTAAACCGACGTAGTCGTCGTCGTACACGGTGTAACAAATTGCATTTTTTTTGGAAGTTCACATAATAAACAACTAATTGCTTTTTCTTTTTCTATTCACTTTTGTGCTTTACAATCTTTAACGGACGAGATTCTTCTTCAATATTACCAAATATCACGTCTTTGTCTATTCCCCTTTTTGCCATCGTTTCTCTTTTGTTGTTCAAGTTAGTATTAAAAACACTCTAAACATACGTATATAAACTGTCCCTTGGAACCTGTGCAGATTTTCATTTTTTTTCGTTTCCAGCGACATTTATTATTCTTGTCTATACTCGAACCAATGGAGGAACAAATGATTATTGATCAGGGACCTGCACCAACAACCACAAATACAACCCCGGTTGTTCACCACCACCAGCCAACTCCTTTAACGCTTACACAGAACTTCCAAGCAATCACGAGTAACCAGCAGGTTGTTTTAGATTGGAAGTGAGTAATTTCATGTTGTCACTCATATATTTTGTTCAAAACATCATTTTTGCACTTGCGCGATAATATAACAAAAGCATTGTCAAAGAGAATTGAATTTAAACGCATAATTTTATTTGTATAGATATGAGATGAGACGCCAAATGCAGGAAATTCTTCCTGGACTCTTTCTGGGTCCATACTCGTGCTCAAAGGACCTGGAACTTTTGAAACAGAAAATCATTACACACATTGTATTCATACGCGACCCCTCAGAAAAGCAAATTCTACGTCCACGTTTCCCCGAGCACTTTAAATATTTTGAAATCGAAGTGTCCGATCATCCGAATGAACGATTGATCCCGCATTTTCCACAGGCAAAAGCATTCATTGATGATGCACTCCTACAAGGCGGAAAAGTGTTTGTTCATTGCAATGGGGGAATTTCGAGAAGTCCGGCTTTTGTGGTGGCGTATGTTATGGAGACTACTAAAATGGACTACCAACATGCATATGGATTTGTTCAAAATCGAAGATTTTGCATGAATCCCAATGAAGGATTCAAAGTGCAATTAAAGGTATAATTTTAGACCTCTTTTTCCTAGTTATTATTCATTCATTATTCACAACAATTAAATAATTGCAATATTCAATATGGATATGGATGTGAACAAAAAGGAATATGAACCTATTTATTCAGCACGGAATTCGGTTAAGGAACACCCATACACTCAGACTGAACTGCATAGACAAACTTTACGAAGACCTGCAGAATTCGATGATGAACCGTAAGCAGAACATTATATATATTTTATATTCTTGTTTTTATTACATAGTCTAATTATACCATAGATGTTATTAATTTGTTTTTTATCATTTTGTCATCAGAAATGAATTCGAGATTGCCAGGAGGGCCCCATCTTTTCACGAAGAACCCGCCGTACAAAGGTGAAACCAAAAAGAACAATCGAATCAAGAACAATATTTGATATTAATTCTAATAATTAGTCGTGTGGCATGTGTGCTAAGATTTGAAAAACATTATGTAAATTTGTGTATGTATATGTGTGTGTGTCTTTTTTGTTCTTATGAACAACTATGGACACATGAAAATAGTTAATTATTAATAATAATTAACGGTATTCAAACAATTATTTATTAGCTATACGGGTATATGTTCACTCTGCATTGTCGTTTTGATTATAAGAGCGAGAATGAACAAATTATTATAACTATTCTTTACGGTATACTAATAATAAAGTAATATATTCATTTGTTAATTTGTCATCATCAAGTCTGTTTTTCCCATTGATAGTCACACCACGTTATCCCTTTTTATCTTTGATGTAACGTCACTTGCACATTCGCATAAATTATATTCCGGGATTATAATTATTTTATTTACTCGATCGAAAGCCTTATACATCTTATGCTATATACAAGAAAACTAATTTTCATTAATATAAATAAATAAGAAAAGGGTTTAATGATGATGAGCTTTTTGCTGGAATCGTATGCCACCTGTTATTTGGAATAAGCAGATTATTTATTCATCATTACACGCAAACATCTCCCATCACATAAAAAAAACATATTTGATACTCACAATATCCACAAGCGTGAGATCCTTCTTGATCCTTTATTAAAAACAAAAATAATATATTAACGACATGTAAATAACGCGAAGCTTTAGATAATACTCACCAAATTTATGTAGACTCTTGGGTGGCCCAAGGCTCCGCCATCTAATCAAAAATACGCACGCAAAAATAAATCGGTGAAAAGTATAATAATGAGATTCGATTAATTGTTTAAAATATTACCTCCATGACAAGTTGCAATACGCCCATCAACAAAATGAATTGGCTCTTGATTAATTAGCTCGATTGCTGCTAGTGGTCTTGGCTTCGTGTGCATAATTTTTAAAAATATAATAAAGATTAGATCGAAACAAATCAATTCCTTTGATACTAAAATCAACTGAAAAACATTGACCCTCCAATTCGTAAGGAATGGAGACCACAATGATATATTCTTTTTAATAATAGTCTTTAATGATCAATCACCTGTGCTTCTAAATCAGTATTCTCAAAGCGCGGCCCAATCATTGCATCTCTTCTATCTCGTTGACTCACTGACCATGGTTTATCACGATTCACCGACTGTTTATATGTATCTGTTAACGCATTATCATCATCACCACGTTTATTACTACTAATAATGCTGGTATCATTATCAGTTGACGAAGAAGATAAATGTCTTGTGCAGTTTTGCTCCAAAGATATCGAGGTTAAGTTATTATTTGTTAAAGTACATCTTGAAGAAAAAGCAGCAGCAGAAGTAAAGCTAAGCTTAATAATGTGAATTTGTGGCGGTTTACGAAAACGAGTAAAAGTAGAGAGAAGACCGTTCATTGTTGTGGTGGTTAATGTATAGAAATAAATATTTATGTTTAGCCTTTTTTAGTGTGATTTTCTATAACAATAATATTTATAATATATGTTGATTAACATGATTCTTTCATTAGTATCAAAAACCATGTCTTTGGATTAACTCTAATCCTCAAATCCAAATAATCATCGACCTAAAACTTCTCGTAAACCAGTCTGACTCTCATTGATATTTCGCTCTAAATACTTTTTTTGTTGTTCTAGCGCGTTTAAATCTGAAGTCATTTTCGAGACATGAACATTATGTTCTTCAAGAAGCACACCCAAGTCAGTTCGAAAGAAACTACACGGATAGAACAAAATTAATTCAATTAGTTTACTTTGTCGGGTATTTTTTTATTTTGATAATATAATAATAACACCTTCCAATCCTCCATACTCTACATATATAAGCAAAACAATTAACTCACGCTTTTCCTACAGCTTTATATGTTGTGATATTTTTTCCTTTACCACCTGAATCTCCCTCACATAATGCCACTAACTCGCTTTTTGTCAACTCGGCAATTCGTTTTTCACGTTCTTTGCCAACAATTTGTGCTTTGACTGCCCCCAATTGACGGTTATTCTCCACAAGCCGATTTTGTAGTTCAAAAAGAACCTAAAAGAAAAGTAAGCAAGCGGCAAAACATTCGCTTTATTTATTTAAGCTTCTAAAATTTATTGAATAATTTTGGGATGATACGAAAAGCAAACATTAAATTGACTCTCAAATTGAATCTTGATTCCTTGTACCTTTCTTAATGTTTCGTCAGGTATTGACATATTTATCGACTGAAAGTTTTCTCTTTGAATCACATGTACATACACACTTTAAACGATGTAACAAGATCAGTGATCATCATGCAACAGAGATCATCATCCGAGTAAACTTGATAAAGTAAAATATCTTCCCACACGAAATAATTTTTCCCATACACAACGCGAACATATATAATCAACCTGCTGCCTTTCTGTTTTAGGGATCACTTGTTTTCTTTTTTCAAATAAATAAATATACCTCTAATTAAACCAACAATACATACATAGTAGATAATGACATCTTCATTAAAAGATGACACCCGTATTGTCTTTAAAGCCCAAGGCCATCGTGAGGAATATTTTGTATTTGGAAATCCTGAATTGGCAAGTTTATTTTTCTAGTCACCATTATCACATGATTTTTTATAACGAATATAAATAATTATAGGTAATGAAATGGCGAAAAGATAAAACGATTCCACTCGCTGATGTTATTCAAAGTAAATTTTCCACTTTATCCATTTTTTTATTATACCAAGAGAACCCTTTTGTTTAATATTGTTGTCGTTTACGATTTCTGCATTCTTTATAGCTTTTGACGTCTATGAAATCACCAATGGGGGAAACGAAGGAATCGCCGGTCGTCCTTCTAAACAACGACTCGAAAATGCGTTTGGCACTAGTAACCTTGACGAAGTGATTGAACAAATTCTCGAGCATGGAACTATTCACCATGTATATAATGGTAAAGGACGCACCGCAAAAGCAGTTAGAAGTGAGTTTAGAATTTATTATTTTTTTTTGATATCTGTTTTTCTTTATTTTTTATCTTAATAATCTTTTGAAAGGTACGACTAATGATACCCGTGGAAAAGGTATTGCAACTGCTTAGAAAGCAATTATTTATTGGAGAATAAATTATTTTATACTATACGAATTATATATATATTTTAACACTAGTTAGTTTTATAATTGCTATGTTCCTTGAATTTACGCAAAATAAAGATGTCACTACTCTACATTGTGCGTATTCATTGAAATAATCTCGAAATTGCGTTAACTTCAAATATATCGATGAATATGATTTTTTATAGTTCCTAATACATTATCGCGACATATGATGATATTAGAATTTTGGAAAAAAACGAGATGAAACATTAATTCTTGAAAAAACGCTACCGCTACTATTATTTTCATTGGTTTATTTAGCTGAATTTTTTCACAAATTGTTCAAATTTCTGTTTTGAGCATTTTCTTGAATTTATCCCCAAATTCAGATTGATGCTGACTATGACTCTCACAGAAATAAATATATATGAAGACTGCCATATGTCAACTCTCAAATTTTGAGAATTGAGGCTAACCCAACATTACCAGACTCGCTAGTAATTATTCCAATTGAAAGAATTGCCTGTAGCGATAGTTTGCAGAACGAATTGCAGGAAATATAATTTTTGGTGATCTTATGGAGTTGGTGATGATTAGTTCGGAAACCGAGGTTTGAGAAGGTTCTTGACGAACGTAAAAACTGAACATTGGCGCAACATTTTGCAACATCCTTTACTTGAGAACAAGCATCTGTGACATTTTGTGTATCTTTTGTTTTTTATATATGTAGAAGAAAATGACAAAATTTGAGAGGAAACATAGCTTTTAATGCAGGAGAAGGGAAGACGAAATGTTCATCAATTAGTACGGCGAAGATTTAAAGCATATTCTGATACAAAATTTATCCAATAAAAAGAGAACCGAAAAAAATTAATTATAGTTTTATTATTATCAAGTGGAAATAACATAATTATGTTATTTCTACTTAGTTTAGGTTATAACCAATCAGGTATGACGTGTGGATCACAAAATTCAAGTTATTTGAGTGATGGATAGATCATAAAACTCAAGTTACTTGAGTAATGGGTGGATCATAAAACTCAAGTTACTTGAGTGATGGATGGATTATAAAATTCAAGTCACTCGAAACAACTTGTATATCCTTTAAAAAGTCAAATTTGATATCAATAATGTTTTAATCACTTATATAAATTTTTGTATATTAGCTTAATATTTCTGATCGATTTCGATTGAAAAGAAATAGTCATTGTTTTACTTTGGTTTCAAATATATTATATCTTCTTACATGCTCAACACATATTTCAAATCAGATGGAAGAGATAAGATAAATAACTAAAGGTTGGTAACATGTATTCAATAAATTACTAGTCAGCTAAAAAGTGACTTAAGAAATCTTTTTATGATTTAATATGTATTTAATAATTATGACGATGGTTTATAGACAAATAAAATATTATAAATTCAATTTATTAAATCATTCTAACAATATGACATCACAACGTGTGAGAGGTCCAAACTATAAA